TAGGGGAGTTTCTGACCTCCGCTTTTCTGCGAGCGCCATTATGTACATTTCTGAGGAGACGAGTACACAGAATTCACGGAGCCTCTCTTGTTCCAGGCGCTTGCGAGTCTGAGAATCTTTCAGCGCCAGATAGATGCCAGGCCAGTGTTTCCCCGATCATTACTTTGGCGACCCCCGGCGACGATACCGGCATGACTCCGACGATGTCTTGAACATGCCGGGGCCCGTCACATACCTTGTAGTGCACCAATGTGTGTGGCGTTTTCCCTTCGTCGGGCGGGGGAGGGGGGTGGTGAGGTGGCCAAGACAGCGCGGCGGCAGTGAGCCCGGTTGCAGGTTGCATCTTCAAAGGCCCGTCTGCGGAGTCCCTGCGTCTGTAGCGGATGTGGCTAGTAGCCTGTTGCGTAGACCGGACGCGAAAACGGCCAACTGTGCTGGCCGGCGAACCACTCAGCGGGCAAAACTACAGCGTAAATGCAGTCATCTTGAGGCCGAGAGAACTGCTTCTCTCGGTCTTCTCTCGGTCGAGGCGACGCACGCCGGTCAGCACACCTGGGAAGACGCCATCCAGAGGGGTCCATGACAACACCTCGCTGGGTGAGCGACGCGTCCCTGTAGGCCACACCTAGCTGCTTGGACAGTGGCAGCGCCCGAGAGAATTTGGCCTTCCGAACACGATGGTGGGAGACGTCATAACTCCACCAAACTTGGCTCCGGAGTCGAAATCCGCGTAACGCACCGATGCAATGGAAGTCGCTTGAACCCTGCAGGAAATAGCTTAAATCGCGTCGGGGTTTGTTTCCCTGTCAGCTGAGGCCCAATCTTGCGTCAAAGCCCTTCTTCGTCACATTCGTTCTTGTCCGCGCTCTCTCCGAGACCTAAGAAGCTGCCCCGAGTCCAGCCCCTCGGAGAAGAGAGGCAGCGACAATTCGAGCAGGGAAGGGACAGGTGATGGTCGAGGCCCAGGGGCAGGTTCATCGTTCCGGACAGCCTGTGATATACCTTGGGCCGCCCGAGTCCCACATTCCACCAGACATCTTCCACGACATCATCGCCATACATACCCATCCCAAGATACCGGCAAGATGAGGCACCACTCCGGTTTTATCCTTGCTCTCATCGCCGCGGTGGCATCAGCCCCAACGATACCCAGTGTCTTCCGGCGCGCCTCGGACGGATCCATTCCCACCGTCTACGCGCCAGTAGGAACGGTCCAGGGCACCATCGACCCGGAAACACCATCGGTGCACCGGTTCCTGGGAATCCCCTTTGCACAACCGCCGCTGGGCCCGCTCCGCTTCAGCCCAACACAACGCCTCGAGTCCCTCCCATCCTCTCCCTTTGACGCATCACAACCGCCCCCCAGCTGCATGCAGTTCCTCATGGACATGACCATCTACACGCAGAACATTCTCGAGTTCAACTTACAGGGCCTCAACGGCACATCCGCCGCCATCTCGGAGGACTGCCTCACCCTCGACGTCTACACGCCGACGCCCGACGAGCCACGACCGACGGACTCGTCGGACCCCAAGCTTCCCGTCATCATCTTCCTCTACGGCGGCGCCTTTTCCATGGGCGGCGCCGACATTCCGTACCAGATCCCCGCCAAGTGGGTGCAGCGCACGCAGGGGCACATCGTCGTGGTGCCCAACTACCGGCTCAACATCTTTGGCTTCCCGCACGCCGCTGGGCTGCAGGGCGAGCCGCAGAACCTCGGGCTGCTCGACCAGCGGCTGGCGGTCGAATGGGTGCGCGACAACATTAAGGCGTTTGGCGGTGACCCGCAGCGAATTGCCTTGTGGGGCCAGAGTGCCGGCGCCGTGTCGACGGGGTTCTACCAGTATGCGTGGACCGAGGATCCGATCATTGATGCGGTCATGATGGACTCGGGGAGCGAGTTCCTCGATGCGGCGGTCCAGTCGACGCAGGATGTCGAGTTTTCCAACTTCACCACCGTCGCGATGGGAGTCGGGTGTGGGGGGCTGGGGCCGGACGACGAGCTGGCGTGTATGCGGACCAAGGACGCCCAGGCGATCGAGGATGTGATCCAGGGGCACAGCCAAATGCTGAAGCAGCCGTTCATCATATTTACCCCGGTCGTGGACGGCGAGACGGTGTTTGACGACTACGCTGAGCGCGGCCAGCAGGGACAGATGGCCCAGGTGGTGAGTACCGGATCTTGTGCTGCTGTCTCAGACTCGACTGACACGGATGCAGCCCACCATCATCGGGACCAACGTCAACGACGGTAGTGCGTTTGTGTCAGTCGGGGTTAACGGCGCTGGTGCAAACCAGACCCTCGCTGATGCCGTGGGACTGATGCTCTTCTTGTGCCCGTCGCTCAAGTCGGCCTTGTACGTCATGCCGTCGTGGCTTATCCCCGCGTTCCGACCCGAGCTAACCATTACAGGACCCGCATCGCTGCCGGAGCGCCTGTGTACCGGTATCTGTACGCCGGCAACTTCACCAACATCTCGCCCACACCGTTCCTCGGAGCATACCACGAGGCGGAGCTGCCGCTGCTCTTTGGCACCTTCGAGGACTTTCGGGGCGATGCGACAGAGCTTCAACGAGAGACGAGCGTCGCGATGCAAGACTCGTGGCTGGCACTCGCCAGCAGCGGCATGATGGGGATGGACGCGGTGGGATGGCCGCGGTATACGGGTCTTGGTGGTGTGGTGCGCGAGTTTGGCGGCCCGAATGTGGTGGAAGACACCAGCACGTTGGCGGTGGACTCGACTTGTCCGCCGTTCTTTCAGTCGTGACGTGACGGCGCGGACTTGATTCCACCGCGGGGTCTTGTTTGGGTGCGATGAAGGAGTCGGCGTCTAGCTTGTGGTGCGATCGGAACTCGGAGATGGAGTTTCTTGTACACGACGCGTGTATTGGCGTGGCGTTGGTCTGGTGTGGTGTAGCCGCGGGATTGCGCTGGGATTACGAATACTTGATATTCGGCAGAGGTAGAGATAATTCCATCGTCTCTTGGTTGTGCCTGTTTGATTCCATGAAGGTGTTGGCGCCAAGAGTCAGCGACCTGCGTTGAATTCATCAGCAACCGAGGGACAAGACGAAGTGATGGTTGATTCCAAACAACTCAAATCACGCACACCAAAACAAAATACAGGCGCCCAAGCCCCTGCAACCAAGGGGCACAGTGCTCGGGTAGATCCGGTCGTCCCTCCAGTGACAGTGACGCCGAGAGCCGGCACACTGTGCCGACATGATCGCGTCATCCGGCTGAGAAATCCAAGCCCAGCAAAAGTTACATCATCCCAATCTGGAACACTCCACCCGTGATTGCTCTTTCTTGTCGACGACTTTAAAGCCCGCGTCGCCCGTCCTACCCCTCCTCCCCACCATTCCAATGTCGACCAGACTCGCCAGACCAGCCTTTAACATCCTCAAAACCACTCGACTCCTACCACAGCTTCCAATTGCCTCTAGATTCTTCACCACCAGCTCGCCCAAAATGACTGTCCACATCATTGCTACGTATGTCCCCCGCGACCCCCCGTGCCCACCTCCCCCTCACGTGCCCCGCGCCGAGCTAACACGTCTCCCTTCGCAGCAAGGACGAGTTCAAGGAGGCCATTGCGCGCGAGCCCATCGTGCTCCTCGATGCCTTTGCCACATGGTGCGGCCCTTGCAAGGCTGTCGCCCCTGTAGTCGCCAAGTGCGTATACCTTCTGCTTCACCCCGACAAACTAGTACTAACACACAGCAGATGGGCCGAGTCCGAAGAGTACAAGGACAAGATCTACTTTGCCAAGTTCGACGTCGACCACCTCCCCGAGCTCGCGGCCGAGCTCGGCGTCCGCGCCATGCCGACGTTTTTCGTCTTCAAGAACGGCGACAAGGTGGACGAGCACCTCGGCGGCAACCCGGGCCCGATCCAGGCGCTGCTGCAAAAGTCGCTGGCGGCCTAAGCGCGGGGACGGATACCAGGAGGATGGTTGGGGGCGAGGCTGAATGATATCCTGGCGCGGCAGCCTCGGGGCGTATTTGTATCGAGACGCATGGAGGGGCGGTGTCTTTGGTGGTGAATAAAAACGATTACAGTGCAGAACCCTTGTCGGATTAAGTGTGTGCATGGCGTGAGGATGTCTTGAGCTCGTGAGGGCTGCTGTCCCGTAATGGTGGCTGGGCTAACCGACAGCAAGTATTTCCCTGCGAGTTGTCTGACTCGTGACAGGATACCGCAAATGACTGCCTTTTTGTATTTGAAGAGACGTTGATGCTGTGATAGCTTTAACTTGGACGTTGTCGACGGCTGCCAGCCCACCCCATCTAAGGGGCATTACTGCACACCGTTCCCATCGAGTCAATTCACACAGTGTTCGTTCACAGTGGATTTCAGCGGTTATGGTCTAGCGGTATGATTCTCGCTTAGGGTGCGAGAGGTCCCAGGTTCAATCCCTGGTAACCGCCTATTTTTGCTCCTGCTTCCGTTTTGCATGTGCTGGGAAGCGCGAATTGCTTCAGACGGTGCCGATGTTGTGGTTATGCTGCAGAGTCTGAATGCGGAATGCAGTTTGTGGTGCCGGGGCGGGGGGCGGCTGTTTTCTGCACTGTGCAGCCACGATGCGGACATCTCTCCCCAACCATGGCAGGCGGAATTTCCATCTCAGCAACACCTGCAAAACATCAACGTCAAAATGCCATCGATACACCCCGGCGCCCCCCGTTCAAAGCGCCTCGACCTCGGTCATGGTTAAAACGCGGCTCAGATTCTCGGTGTCGCCAGTCCCTCACGCCAGGACGTCAACAACGGCGCCGCAGCTCGTGCCAGCCACGGCCATCGACTTGATTTTCGCTGCCTGGCTACGAACGCGTCGGCCATCGACCACTGGGCGCAAAACTTCCGTTGAAGTACAACATTGGAACCAGATCCCAACAGCTGTGGGCCATCTCCACGCGTTCGTACGATGCAGACAGACCGGATGGAGTCCAAGATGCAGATGGACCCTAATTCCACCACTAGCTTCCATCAACCAGAAGCCCGCTTGGCTCAGTGGTAGAGCGTGTCACTAGTAACCCTGTCTCCTTCACATGAAGGTTCTCGGTCACATGACAAGGTCATCAGTTCGATTCTGATAGTGGGCATCGTCGAGTATTCATGGCTTTGGTCTTGTTTACTTTCTTTTTGGCTGTACTCAGGGGATGTCAACCTTGCTCGGGTGTGTCTTCTTGGGACACCACCCCGTTATCGCTTCATATTCCCATCGTCCTGAGCCGAGTCCTCACCGCCATGAAGAGGATCAACGCTTGCCAATCTAGACGATAACGCACCAGATCGGACCACTATGCAACGCGGATTTCCGCGGTTACTGCCGGCCGGGGCTCACCCACAGCCTTCCGGTCGCCGGCGCCGTCCGGTGATGCCGCTGCAGCATGCGGGGAAATGGCACGTCTAGCAGGGATGACGAGCGGGGACCGGCGCGGCGCCGCATCGTCACAGATCTTGAAGATCTACGAGGGACTCGAATCTCCTCCTTTATCTTCAGAGCCTTCCCACTCGACAGGCCAAGGCTCATTCACTCTTGTGCCAACCGTCAAAATGCCGACCATCGTGGTTCTCGGGTGAGTCCCTCCCGGACACCGGACCGACCTCAACTCACACCTCCCAGCGCCGGCGTCATCGGGCTGACATGCGCCCTCAAGCTGTCCAAGCGCAAGGAAAACACCGTCACCGTCGTGGCCAAGTTCATGCCCGGCGACTACGACATTGAATACACCTCGCCCTTTGCCGGCGCCAACGTCCTGCCGTGCGTCCCTCTCTCTCTACCTCCACGCCCCCCCTAACAAAACCCCAGCATGGCCTTCGAAGCGACCAGCCGCTGGGAACGCCGCACCTGGCCCGAACTCCAGCGCCTCGCCGCCGAGGTTCCCGAAGCAGGCATCCACTTCCAGAGTCCGCCCCCTGTCCCCTTCCCCCCTCCCCATCCGCCGCTAACACCCCCGCGCAGAAGCCCGCGTCTTCCGCCGCAAGCAGGAAGCCGCCTCGGCCTTCAAGGGCGCCCCCCCGGACGGCCTCTTCGTCCCCGACCCTTGGTACAAATCCCTGATGCCGGACTACCGCGAGCTCCGCGCCGACGAGCTCCCGCCCAACCACGCCTTCGTGTCCGGCTGCGAGTTCGGCTCCGTGTGCATCAACACGGCGACGTACCTGCAGTGGCTCGTTGGGCAGTGCGCGGCGCGCGGCGTGGTGTTCCGCCGCGGGGTGCTGTCGCACGTCGTCGACGCGGCGGGGATGAGCCACACCACGAAAAGGGCAGATGTGGTGGTGAACGCGTGCGGGCTGCAGGCGTGTCGGTTGGGCGGGGTGATGGATGGGAAGGTGGTGCCGGCGAGGGGGCAGACGGTGCTAGTGAGGAATGAGAGCGGCGGGGGGATGATGGTGACGAGCGGGTGTGATGATGCCGAGGATGAGGTGGTATATGCGATGACGAGGGCGTATGGAGGGGGGACGATTCTAGGGGGGACTTATCAGAAGGGGAATTGGGAGTCGAATCCGGATCCGAACACGGCGGTGAGGATTATGAAGAGGGCGGTGGAGCTGCATCCGGAGTTGACGGGTGGGAAGGGGATTGAGGGGTTGGATGTGGTGAGGCATGCGGTGGGGTTGAGGCCGTATCGCGAGGGGGGCGTGAGGATTGAGAAGGAGAAGGTGGATGGGGTTTGGGTGGTGCATAATTATGGACATGCGGGATGGGGGTTTCAAGGGAGCTACGGGACCGCCGAGAGGGCGCTGGAGTTGGTGGATGAGGTGTTGGCGGAGGAAAAGGCGAAGCTGTGATGTTCGTGGGGGCAGATACTCCATGGTGCTTTTGGGTACATGCGATAGCATATCATGGCAGATATCAAAGCTAATGAGAAGTCGCCCAGAAGGGCAGGTCAATGGTGTTCCTCTGTAATTGCAGCACATGATAGGGGGTGCCCGTGATCGTGATCCTCCCGAGGCTGCCAAGACAGGTGTCAGCACCCGCCAAGGCTCAATCAGTGCTGACCCCAACCGCATCGCGTCCTCCTCTCGATCCCAAGACAACTCCCGCAGCACCATCATGGCGGAAGAACCGTCCCTCTCCCAGAAAGCCACGCAGCTCGCGCTAGACGTCGCCAATGGCCGCCACCCCCTCTCCAAGTTCGTCCCGCCGGCGCTGCTGCTGGCGGACGCGGCCCTCTCCGCCGGAGTGATTTGGAAGATCCCCTGTTCGTCTCCCCGTACAGCTCGCTCGGCGCATACTGACTGACACTTCCAGACACCGAGATCGATTGGACCGCGTACATGGAGCAGATCGCGCAGGTCGTCTCTGGCGAGCGCGACTACACCAAGATCCAGGGCGGCACCGGGCCGCTCGTGTACCCGGCCGCGCACGTCTACCTCTACACCGGACTGTACCACCTGACGGGCGAGGGCAAGAACATTTTGCTGGCGCAGCAGCTGTTTGGGGTGCTCTACATGACGACGCTGGCGCTGGTGATGGCATGCTATTGGAAGGCCAAGGTGGGCTCTTCAGCTCCTAACATGGTGGATATCTGCTGACAGCGACGGGTTGCTAGGCCCCCCCATACATCTTCCCTATGCTCATCCTGTCGAAGCGGCTGCACAGCATCTTCATGCTGCGCTGCTTCAACGACTGCTTCGCCGTGCTCTTCCTGTGGCTCGCCATCTTTTGCCTGCAGCGCCGGTCCTGGCAGCTGGGCGCGCTCTTCTACACGATCGGCGTTGGCGTTAAGATGACCTTGTTGCTTGCCCTCCCCGCCGTGGCTGTCATCTTGTTCCTCGGCGCGGGCTTCGCTTCGAGCCTCCGTCTCGCCGCCATGATGGGCCTCGTCCAAGTCCTCCTCGGCGCGCCGTTCCTCGCCGAAAACGCCACCGGCTACCTGGGCCGGGCCTTTGAGCTGTCGCGCGCCTTCCTCTTCGAATGGACCGTCAACTGGCGATTCCTGGGCCCCAGCATCTTCTCCAGCTGGGCGTTTTCCATGGCCCTCGTGTACTCGCACATCACGGCGCTGGTGGTCTTTTCCTTCTCCTGGCTCAAGCCGGGGGGCAAGTCGCTCCCAGACGTGGTCGGCGCCGTGGTGCGCGGACGCTCCCCCTTCACCCCGACGGAACAGAAAGCGGTATCGCGCGACGTCACGCCGCAGTATATTCTGACTACGCTCCTGACGGCCAACGTCATCGGGCTCCTGTTTGCCCGGTCCCTGCACTACCAGTTCTACGCGTACCTCGCCTGGGCGACCCCGTTCCTCCTCTGGCGCAGCGGGCTCGACCCCGTGCGGCAGTATGTGCTGTGGGGGGCCCAGGAGTGGGCGTGGAACGAGTTTCCCAGCACGCCGACCAGCTCGGGCATTGTCGTGGGTGTGATGGCCATGACGGTCACGCGGGTGTGGTGGGAGTCGAGGGGCGGGTTGGCGTCGCCGCAAGGGGCGACGGTCAAGAGTGAAAAGGCCAAGCAATAGCTGGCCAGCGCGGATCAAGACTCGTCCTCGGAATCGCTGGGCGGCATCTTTCCTACGGTGGACTCGTCGTCGTCGTCGTCGTCGTATGTGTTTTTGGGGAACTGCTCGGGCCTGTGGACGTTAGGGGGTGTCTCAAATTGGGTCGAGAAACGCACCAGTAGGGCTGCTTGCGCCAGGACTTTTCGTCGCGCACGACATTGACAATCTCGCCCACGACGCGGCTCTCCTTGGGGCGTTCGTCCATGGACGCCAGGTCAATCAGCACGTATCCGCCGCGCTTGATCCAGATGGTGTTGCGGAAGCGCGGCTCGAGCTCGACGATGATGGTCTTTTTGTTGGGCAGCTCGCAGGTGTACAGGCTGTTGCCCTCAGCCTTGACGACGCGGGCGACAGATTGTGAATCGGTGAGCTCGCCAGGGGGTGTCGTGGACTCTTGGGCCGCAGCGGCGACGGCGTTGCGCTTTGGCTTACCCATGGTGCGTGCGATGGTGGGCGGTCACTGTTGGGTGGTCACTGTCGGGTGGTGTTGCGCGAGCCTCTGAGAGTGCCCCGCGGGAACAAAATATTTTGGATGGTGGGGTTGCCCCTCTACGATAAGCAAGCGTCAACCTGCGTCTTGCGTCTTTGCCTCCCTATGCAGGACCCAACTGATATTTTTCCGCGTCCTATAATCCAGGTTCTGACAGGGGGCATTCCTCCAGGATGGAAATTCTTGTAAAATCCAGGTTGGGCGGCTGTCGTGGCCAAGGTTTGGGATTTTCGCCGGCCGTCCTGTATCGGAGGCGATAATGTCTGCCGAAAACCCACCTCCTCGCTGACTCCTTGCCCGAGCAAAAAGAATCGGCATCCCCTTTTGGTTCTTCCGAGCCTGTCTCATCAAGCCCATTCCGCCATCTTCAGTCGACTTGATCAACCTCACCATCACCATCACCACACTCGCCGCCCCTGAAACCTCCCAGTTCTCCAGCTTCCCCCCCCCACCACCACAATGGGCCCCACGACACTCCCCGCGCTCCAAACAAACCCCAAGTTCATCTTCTTCACCGACTTTGACGGCACCATCACCTGGCAAGACAGCAATGACTTTCTGACGGACAACCTCGGGTACGGCGCGGCCGAGCGCAAAAAGGGCAACGCCGACGTGCTCTCGGGGCGCCGTCATTTTCGGGACCTCTTCCACGAGATGCTGGACAGCATCGACACCCCCTTTGACCAGTGCATCGCCGCCCTTCTCCAAAACATCCAGCTCGACCCCGGCTTCCGCGCCTTCTTTGACTGGGCCCGCGCCAACAACATGCCCATCGTCGTGCTCAGCGGCGGCATGGAGCCCATCATCCGCGCCCTGCTAGCCCACTACTTAGGCGAGGCCGAAGCCGCGACGATGCAGATTGTGAGCAACAACGTCGCCCCGCTGCCGGGAAAAAGCATCAACGACAAGGGCGGGTGGAAGATTGTGTTTCACGACGACAGGTAGGTCTGCCATGGCAAGCGGAGGTTGGGGGCTAACGTGGTGCAGCGGCTTTGGCCATGACAAGTCCTTGGAAATCCGCCCCTACGCCAACCTCCCCCAAGACCAACGGCCGGTCCTTTTCTACGCCGGCGACGGCGTCTCGGACCTATCGGCCGCAAAGGAGACAGAC